TTTAAAAATGGCGGCACCTGGGAATATGCAAATGAAGCCCGGGATATTTAAATCCCAGGCTTCATTTGCAACTCCGGTGTACCAAAAAAACCCATATAGCTCGAACCAACGAACTAGTGTAGACATACCCTGACTTACCTGTACTCAATTCCCTTTTGATCAGTAAGTAGCGTAAGGAGATGTACACAAAGAATGAAGGAAAAGGAAAAGGCAGTCAAACCTTTGGCCTAATCTGACAGTCTGGATGAGCTGGATGGCTCAAATTAACACTCCTCAGATTTGTATCCGAAGGGGTTAGGAACAAGGCATATTCACTGGTGGTCCCTTCAGTCTGCAATGTGCTTCCCCCTTGTATGTTGAACTTTCGAACATGTTTCACAGACTCTGTTTGTTCAGGCTCTCTTTCAGAGGATGGTTTAAGTTAATGTTTTCACACACAAGCACACTGTGTAAACTGTGGGGTGGGGGGAGGGTAAGGCACCCAAGGAAGAGCCCTGGTATTATCCAGATACTGCCATTGACAGTGTAGGCCATCGAGGGGGAAAGGGTGGGAAGGGACAGCTCTCTTAGGGCCCAGGGCACCATCACCACTAGCACAACAGTATCCAGAGCCAGGGGCTCTTTAAATCGCTGTCAGAGCTCCAGATGGCGTGGGCTGGGCAGTGTTGAAGGGCTAGCTTCCAGCCTGCTCTTTTCATCTAAGGCCTCACCCCTTCGGGGGCTCAGAGCCAGCACTCCAACCTTGCCCAGGGACCCCACAATTCTGTAGGTCACTTTTAATATTGCCACCAACTCAACTAACCAACACCGCAGCACAAAAAAAAAAAAGTACCAAAAAAACCCCTGGCTATTTCCCCACGGTAGCACAGCATAAAAGGGTAAATCATATGCCTCCTCAATCATGTAGAAGAGGCTTGATGTTACAATTTCACCCTTGCAGAGCTAACTTCGCTGCAGTTCCCCCCCCTTATCGACTAATAGAGTCGTTGATGGAAATTCCATCGACTACTTAATTAGCCGATTACACACATTTTAACATCCCTAATCTCTTGGAGATTCTGGCCTTTAGTACTGTTCTTTCAGCAAAGAATGAGACAGACAAAGCAGCATAAGGTAGTGATACTTTACAAATACTTTGTGCTTTTTGCTACTAAGTGGGAATTACAATCTCTCTGGAATTTACAATCCTCTACTACTGAAAAAAGAACTAAATGATATGAACAAAGACAGGGTAAGTGGTTAGGAAACAATTAAAACAAGTAATGAAGAGACATAAGGCACCAATATCACTATGACAAAAGTATAGCACGCTTGCCTGACAGGTGCTGGCATAACTATGAGGGGACTGGCTTTTATCTTCAGATGTGATGGGATTGTCTAATCACCAATGTTTTTTCAAAATCTTGCCACTTTCTACATAGATCATCTGATTCCCCACTTGTCTACACTGCATTCCTCGTTCGAGAGAGGAATGCAAATGCAGCTGAACGAAATTGCAAATGAAGTTCTGATTTGAATTTTCCATGCTTCATTTGCATAATTGCGTCCGGGCGCTATTTCGAAATACACTATTTTGAAAAAAGAAACACTGTGTAGACACAGTTATTTCGAAAGAAAACCCTTCTTTCGACATTACCCTTACTCCTTATAAAATGAGGTTTAAGGGTAATGTTGAAAGAAGGGTTTTCTTTCGAAATAATCGCATGTAGACAGCGTTTCTTTTTTCGAAATAGTGTATTTCGAAATAGCACCCGGACGTGATTATGCAAATGAAGTGTGGGAAATTCAAATCCACGCTTCATTTGCAATTTTGTTCAGCTGCATTTGCATTCCTCTCTTGAAAGAGGAATGCAGTGTAGACATACCATAGCTGTCCTGGGTCCCTGTCATGTTCTTTTAAAAGGAGAGAGGAAAATAAATGAATTACAGATATCTTGGTAATGGCCAAGGGTACCTAATCGAGCCTTATAAAACTGCAATGAAATTTTACCATCCTATGTTCAAAAATCCATTTGCTTGATCCTTATTATGAAAACTGATGGTAATGGAAAGGGAAAATAATTTTTAAACTCCCACTACTCAAAAATGCACTGGCCTAGCAAAAATAACTACCCACATAACTGATCAAAAGTTTTGCAAGATGCCCTCACAGTCATACTGCAAAAAAGAGGAGCAGCTAGCACTCAGATGTTGGATACCCATCCTGTGAGATGCTCTTGGCCCCAAACACTGACATTCCTTAAGCACTGATGAGTTAGGTGACTATCTAAAAAATGTGGCTTCCAATTTTAGAGATTGGTTGATGGAACTGAGCATCCCGATTTTTCAGCAAGTACATTAGATGCATGCAATTTCTATTAATGATTCTCCCAAGAGCACCCTTGTTCCTGCTGTGATTGCAAAGTGGAGACACATCAAAACACAATCCCAAATTAAGCTTCTTCTAGGTCGCTCAGTAGCTCCTGTCTGCTTGGTAGCATTGGCCAGATGCGTGGGTGCAGTTACTGGTGCTGGCTTCTGTTTCAGTTTTGTTTTTGACTATGCAGTGTTTTGTTCCATACTGTGCAAGTCTTTTCACAATGGGCAAACCTAGCAGACAAAAACAGGAGTAGAGAGGCAGTGTGCCTTAGTAGCAAAGCAGTCGCCTAGGAGTTGGGAGATATAGGTTGGACCACTGACCTACTGCACTAATCTGGACAAAAAACTTCAACCCCAAGTGTCTCTGCATGGCAAAAAAAAGATAAGATAGCTGCTCTTTGTAAAGAGCTCTGACGTGCTCAATGTACTAAGTATGAGAGAGGGAGAGAGAAAGGGGGTGCATTAGCACTAAAGATGCAACAGGCCAGTGAAAGTGCACTGCCCTTTGACAGCTTTGCACTGGCAGACAGAATTGTCCTCAGTATTTCCACTATTGTCCTCCTCTGGGTCTCATTCAAACTCTGTTACCATTGAAAGGAAGCACTGAGTCAGTGCATGCACCAGCTGCCTTCGCCATGCCCCCATCCCCAGCTGCACCGGCTGCCTTTGCCTCCCATGCTGCAGATGCCTTGCACCATAGCAACTTCCTCTCCTGGAGGACTTCACACCACCAGGTTCCTCTGGCAGCATTTACATTGGTATCAATCTGGGGGTGAGTCTTGCCCAGCAATGTCAGAGCTAAATTCTGCTCTCCCTTGCCTCAGCGTCAATCCACAGGATCCCCGCTGAAGCCAACAACAGTGCAACCAAGAGCAGGATTTTGGCCCATAACCTGGAGATGAATAGTTGTATGGGAAGACAGAGGTAAGCGGTGTTCCCTATGGAGGAACCAAGCTTTTGGGGCAGCCTATAAGGAGCAAAGGGCTTCCTAACACTGCTGATGTGGAAGCTGGTGTGCGTGACAATTACGCTCCCCTCAAGTCAGCACGAGGAAACACAAACCAAGTTGGGTTTTTTTCACTGAAGTGTGTGCAGTCCCCTCTTGGAGTGGGAGAGTCCACGTATTCTGCCCGCCTCACTGGCCTCCTTTGCAATCAGCGGGCACTGGGTTCTCTGTGCACTTTGTCTTCCTTCTCCCCCACTCCCCATGAGCAGGGACAGGCTGTCATCCCAACTGCTGCTGGAAGCCAGCACACTCTTACCCCAAATGCTGCCTTGTCTGGGCAGCTCCACCTGCATGCAGGCTGTCCTGGGACTGACTTCTCTTCCTCTCTGTCCCCATCTTTACTGTCAGTCTGGGTTTCCCACATGGGCTGAGCAAGCAATTTCAGATTCATAGCCTCTGCTTCTGTGCTGCTTCCTGCCAATAGGAGTGACTAGGAGCTGGCTCTGTCCAAGCCCCACAATCGCAAGGGACAGTCAATGACCCTTAGGCTCCTAAATCGCTTTTGAAGATGGGATTTAGGAGCTTAAGTCAGTGAAAAGTGTCTGAAAAAATTTACTCTGCATCAGAGTACTGCACTCAGCTGTTTGAACTCCTTAGACAACCAGGAAAACGGATCTGCGTTGTTATTAGAAAATAAAGCATCTTTGGAACATACTGTACGGACACACTGCCATCTAGGGCCATTGTTGTAGTGTGGCAACTAGCCCTTGGGGCTCAGTGACCCTTTGGGAATTACCTGCCAGTACAATCTGTTCAGCCACAGACAACGTCCAGAACTGGGCCAGGGGCAGGAAGGTGGTGGAAACCCTTCCATGTCTTCCCCCCGCCCACACACAACAAGTGCATTGAGTGCTGCTCTACAACACCTGAGCATTTGGTCCACAGCCTCGGTATAGAATATGGAGAACCACCACCATGAGCAAAATCCACATCATCCTTCAAAATTCCCATGGGCACACACAGATTAGTAAGTAATTAGCATCATCGACATTTCAGAGACAAGAAAACAGAGGCTTGGAGATGTTCAGTGATGTGCCCGGGCATCGTAGTAAACTCACCCCCCCTTCCATGGAAGTTGTCTTACAGATCTCAGGCTACTATTTGCACCCAGATGGTTTAGAGTGAGATACTATGAGTTTGTTCAGGGCTTTAAAAAACCACAAACACAGCCCTTTAGAAACCTTATTCTCCTCAAAAATTGCCTTGATCCGCCTGAACTATCCTACAGGAGAGTGAACATCCTGCCAAGGAAGTGGCTGGCAAGGTTTCCATTAGTCCCTGGACCACAACTGTTTTTGCACCTTCTTCTCTAAATAAGGCAGTCTGCAGGATATCTGACTAGCCAACCAATTTGGCTCCTTTGCATTCAGCAACCCCCGTCGACCATCCAAAGAAACTTCATTTGTGTTGCATATAATGGGTGACAGCATTGGCCAAACTTCCGCCAGTCTGGGAGAAGAGAGCAGGTTAGTGTTACAGCCATGACGAGTTTAGCTGTTGATGACATAGTGATGCTGCAGGGGGACAGCCTCTGAACTATAAAGATAGGTCAATCCAGTCTACTGAGGCTGCCCACTATACAGCAAGAGCTACAAAACATGGTCCCCACCGGAGAGAGTTCTGCTGGCCTGTGTCTGTTCCCAACCCAAATGCTCTCAGGCTTTAGTTTCATGTCAGCAATCTTCATCTGCCTTCCAAAAATAAGCCTCTGCCACCATGCGGAAGGGAGAAAAACAAGAAGGGCGGTATTTTTAGGGCCATTAATTCTGACCACGTGCCCAGGAGGTGAACCGGATGGCCATTGCACAAAGACTTCTCATCACTATGTCCTGCGAAGCCAGCGTTCACTGGACGTTGCCTGCTTTTGTTCTCTTGGGTTTTCTGGCTGGGATTGTTTCATCGTATCCAGCTGTAAGCAGAACTAATGGCACATTGCTGGAGAGAGGATGGGAGTCTCTGTTGTCCAGGTCCCTTGCTGGGATGTCAGGAGAGAAATCAGATGTGAACTGGGAGAGTGACTATTTGCTAGGAATCAAGAGGCAGCGGAGGCTTTACTGCAATGTGGGCATCGGGTTTCACCTTCAAATCCTCCCAGATGGAAGGATAAGCGGTGTTCATAATGAAAACCAATACAGTGAGTTGCATATGAAATAGAATAGATGTCACTTAATTGCAGCAATCTCTAGTAATTACCCTGCGTAGGATACGAATGTTACTGCTTGATATTTTTATTAGTCTAAACTACATCTGTTGCCTTTTAAAAGTCTCCAGGATCAATCAGCACTAGAAACCTCCAGGCTGAAACATGTCATGAATGCTTGGACAAAATTAGATACCAACTTATTTTTACTCTGCTTTACTTTACAGAGTAGAAAAGACTAACCAGTTTGCAATTTTTTCCTGATGCCTTTTTCACTCGTGTGTTGTTGTTTGATATTTGACTATTGAGGTTTTCAATTCACTTAGCAAATGCATGACTTCTGCATAGCAGTTTGCTAGCAATTTAAGGACATGAAGGATTTGAAAGGGCACAACTAAACCACATTTATTAGCATTGACATTGATTTTAATCTGCAAGATTAAGAAAAGAAAGGTATTTCATTTATTTGAATTTCGTGTAAAGTGCAATTTATAAAAGCATCTGCAACTAACAGGTGATAGTGAGCTTCACGATGCAAACCACACTTCTATTGGCAGGAATGACAGCACTGAACATTTAATGGCTATGATTTACCAATTCGGAATGATTCCCAAATTCAATAGGACTTTCTAGTATAAAAGGGATGAAACCAATAGGATTCTACAGAAAATGAACAGGTTTTTATGAAAGTTATTCTAAGAACCTACATAATTTAATAACGAATACGATGCCCAATATATTTTTGGAATTCCATAGTAGGGATAATAGGAGATTTAAAGTTCTGTAGGACATTGTCATAAGGATTTTAATAATTATAATTTTAATTTCCTTTGAGTATTAAGAGTAAACTTTTTTCTGTTTATTTAGGTCTTTTAGAAATATCAACTGTGGAGCGAGGTGTTGTTAGCCTGTTTGGGGTAAAAAGTGCCCTCTTTATAGCAATGAACAACAAAGGGAGGTTATATGGAACGGTGAGTACAAGTGCAAGGTTATTTTTCAAGTCTTAAACACTGGCAATGAAACTGTTATTGGGTATTTTTGTTTCCTTCTGTTTAAAAACTGAGATTACAAGTGGAGAAAATAGTCTTTCAGTTATTACAGCAAGTCTTCTGGGCATAGTGACATCCGTAGCAGACAGTGCAGCAACTGGTATCATCTCAGTTTATTGTTACTGAAAAGCATTCCAGCATTATTTGTACAAGGAGCACCTCAGAAATATGAATTTGTCAAAAAGGAGCAATGATCAATAAATGGCTTTTCAGGCTACGTATCTAGCAAACCCTTTCTAGCACAGATAAACCTTGTCCATAAACCTGTGGTAGAAGTTGGAGAGGGGACACACTTTTTCCTGGCTACAAATCCCAGTGGAGGGTGGAGAACCACTGAAAGATGAGAAAAAAAAATCTTGAGATTACTTTACTGGAATCACTATCAAATTCTTTAACGTGGGGAAAATCTGGGTGGCCTCACAGAATAAGCAGGAGGCTTGGTCCCCAGAATCCACAAATACTGAGGGCTGTATGGACATTGGGAAATCTCCCAGAAGCCTGCTTAAGGCTCAAAGAAGAAGAAAAATCTTCCACAATAACATTGTTCAACATCACTACGCAAAACAATTGGCTGAACAGCTGTGCAAGGTGTTAGTGACTGCTCAAAGCAATTTAACTTTCACATCCCTAAAAATAGTTCTTTCAAATTCAATACTAAGCAGAAGCAGCTCCTCCAAAGAAGCCAACTTTAAAGTGGCTGGTCCTGCAAGAAGCTTCGATAGTAGAGCTGGTAGGAAATTCTTCAGTTAAAGAATTTTTAAATCAGGAAATGCTGATTCAGCAAACCTAGATGTTTTGTTGGAAAGGGTCAGTTTTAGAAATTTTTCAACTGAGGGGGTTTCTTTTTAAAAGGGAAAAAAGTTTCAAAGTTGTCAAAAATGTTTTGTTTTGGCACTTGTGATTCCAGTTTTCCAGCCTGAAACCACTTTGCTTTGAAAACAAAATATTACAGCTGACCCAAACAACCTTTTTTTAAAATTTCCAGTTTGTGAATGTTTTTCAAATTTCAACTCCTTGTCCAATCCAGAAACTTCTGATATCTGGAAAATTTTCAGGGATGGAAAATCTTTTCCCATCCAGCTGTAATGAATGGTCTATCTCCAAATACAAAATAGAGTTTGCTGAAAATCTTTTCTGAAGCTGAGTTGTTTCGTTGGAAAAAATTGTCACTTCAAGAAAGCATTTTGGTTCTTCAATAAAACACCAAACCATGGCCAGATCCTGGAACCTTTACTTACAGCAGTGTACATACACACATGCATATCTTTAAGCCTACAAATAGCAAATGTGCTGGACTGAGCCCTGTTCAGGAACTCCTGGATCAGGACCACCCCAAAGTCTTGCCTCTTTGCCCACTTGCCCCCGTTTTAAAACCGTTTCAGTTGACCCCTATTAAAATCTTTTAAAAACATTTTAGAAAATAACAACAGTTGTGTATTTTCCATTGCAAAATGCACCATTCTCTTAACAGAATGTCATGCTCTTCTGATCAGAAACTGAAAACGTGATTACATCATCAGTATTAGTGGCATTACATACGCGGGACATTTGATCTCATGGAATCATTTTGGTTTGTCCTTTCACACAATAATGTAGCCTCCCCTTTTGCCAACTGAACATTTCTATGCCAGTTTACATATATACTTATTACAGTATGTGAAGTAATAAAATGTTCTCCATGCAAATATATGCAAGCCAATTCCTCAAATTTAAGTAACCCAGCCTGTAAAACATAAAGCCATGCTCATGTCTGAGAACTCTTTGATACTGTGTTTGAGCCCATAACATTTAATCAGATTTAAAAAAAAAATATTTAGAACCAATTTGGGATCTGATCCCACAAAACATGTATTAAAGCAAGTAGTTCTCACTCTGCAGGACTGTTCATGTGAAGAAGGATTGAGGGATTTCTGTCAGGTAACATTATTTCTCTCTGAACAACAAATAATTTTTGCGGGAGGGTGGAAATAAATCCACGTCATGTGTACGACAAATCAGTATGACATGGATGTAAATAATTCTTTGTAAATGAAGAAATCCCTGATTTATCATGAATTAACTTGTTAATGGGTGACAAGAAGTATAGAGTGCATTATCTGAACAGGTGGCATCAGCCTGTATCTGACATTGAATAGTGCAGAAGGAGTTTGACTGTTGGACACAGACGCTATGGCACCACCTGTTACATACCATAACAGGTTCTTCTGCTATACAAATAATAATAAGAAAAGTCACTTGGATCTTTTAAAAAGTATTTATGGCAATTGCTTTCTTCTTTTTGTTTTTCCTCCCCCCCCCCCCAGGCAATTTTTCAAGATGAATGCAAATTCAGAGAAACGCTGCTGCCCAATAACTATAATGCATATGAATCTAATGCTTACCAAGGGGCTTACATAGCACTCAGCAAACATGGGAGAATGAAAAAGGGAAACAAAGTGTCTCCTGCAATGACAGTGACTCATTTTTTGCCCAGAATATGAAAACAATTACAAATATTAAACCACAGGGGAAAAAAATCTATTTCATTTTGCACATGTGAATAATCTCCCAGGTAAAGTATTTATACTGTTTGTGGATATATATGTATATTTGGATAGAGAAGTTTATGCTAGATCCATTACACAACATACGCTGCTTCTCTTGTACTCAGTGGACACCAATCTGCATGGGTGAGAGTTCTTGTAATGGTTCTATAGAGGACAAAATTATGACCCTGACTGGAGGGCAACACACATCTGGAACTTGCTGAACAGAGATACTTTTGTTGTTGTTGTTTGATTTTAATTACCTAATATAGTAGCCTTTTGATTGAGAGTTCTTATTGATACATATAACGGGCCAAATCCTCAGCTGGATGGACTTCAATGGAGCTACATCAGTTTACACCAGGCTGCCCCCAATGTATAAATAATGCTGAATCCCAAAGTCCTCACTCAGTTTTACTCACTAGGGCATAGGTGCCAGAACTGGAGATGTGGGAGGTGCTGTAGCAGCCCCTGGCTGAAAGGGGTTTCCATTATACAGGATTTACAGTTTGGTTCACCAGTTTTCAGGACCCCCACTATAAAAACTGCCCCAACACTCCTGCACTAGGACCTCACTCTCAGAAATGGTTCCAGGTGAGCAAACTTTTTTGCTGACAGAATCCCACAGACTTCACAGCGGCCTAACAATTTGACCACCTGGACATCTCTGCAGGATCAGGAATTAAGTCAGTTTGCTTGAGCCCTGCTCTACACTTAACATTTAGTTTGACCTAGTTATATTGCTCAGTAGATGTGAAAAAATTCACTCCTCCTGAGCGCCATAGCTAACCCAGCCTAACCCCTGGTGAAGCTGTGGCTAGGTTGACTGAAGAATTCTTCCATCTCCTTACCTATTTTCACTCAGACAGGTGAACTCCATTCTGTGTCAGCAACCTTCTACAACAAGGGAAGTGTCTATACTATGGCACTACAGCAACATAGCACTGTAGCACCCAGGGTGTCACTGTAGCACTCAGGGTGTAGACATGCCCTGAGTAAAAACTAATCATGAATCTCAGGGTTTGGCCCCTCTGTATTAGAGATAGGCCTGAGCTGCAAAATATAAATCTTGAGATCAAGATTTTGAACGTTTCAGCGTTTAGGATCTTTTATGTTATGACTATTCGGGCCATCTCATACATACCCATTGGTGTTTGTATCTAATTCTTCCACATAAAAAATTATATATTACACACACCCACATACACACAACACACTGCATCTTGGTAGCTATATTTTTAATGTGTCTGGCACCCTCGTATCCAGGTGCCCACACAGAGATACATGCAGGGAGGTAAATATTTGAAGGTCCTCTATTTTATTTCACTTTCACTATAGTGATCTCAGAGTGCTGTAGTGTTTAGATTTTAAAATGTATGGTGTTCACGGGAGCCTCCCACAAAGGAGTATTTCAAAGAAAATCTTTATTTAAAACACTGACTGCCTGTCATTCTGTGGAGTCATTCTTAGACCCAAATTAATACTCTTTTGATCGTTCTTATTGTCATATTCTTTCCCTTATCTCAAACAGCAGCTTTCATGCTATCCACAACGTTCTCTTTAGGCGCTACAGTGGAGGAAGTGATGTCATAATTCCAATTGGTAAAGATAAACACTTATTTACTTGCAAGGACTATTTGCAAATTTCATGTGTTGTCCCCCAAACCTCTCCTAAAAATACACACGAAGGACATACAGCCCTGCCCAACTGTTTGCATAACCTTTTTTCCAGAATACCAGACGAGCCACATTCTCTGTGCCTTTAAAGAGTATTTTAAGAGGCCTTAAGTCAATAGGTGCTATAAATGTCAGTTACTAGAAGCCTTGAGATGCCTGCATTGATGGGGTGTTCCTAAATTTGAAACTAGAGTCAAGACAGCATCAGATCAGGAGCATTTTCCACAGACACACCATGTTGCTGCAGAAGCATATCTCCGAATGCAGGATAATCTCCCATCTGCAACCAAAATGCTGAATATCTCCAGCCTTGACATGCCATTCTATTTGCAATGGGTGTATATTTGTAATGAATGTGGGCCTTTTGACCTATGAAGTACCCTGTAAAGGCCAGGTCCTGGACTGGTGTAAATCAGCACCGCTCCATTACCAGTTACACCAATGTACACCATCAGAGGATTTGGTCCAAAGTGTGTCTGTGTATGCATACGTATATGCACACATTTCAAGTTATTGTGAAAACAATTTTATTGACAAGAAATCATTTTCCATTTTCTTACATGTGTTTTATACTTGAATTGATTTTTCTCAAAATGTATACTGACTTGCTCAAACATCTTTTAATCATTGTGTAAACAAAGACACAAAAGGAAGGAAACCCGACTTGGACATTTGTAATAAGGTAAAGGAAAAGAATGATTGAGTTGTGGAGTGCAGTAGCATGGAAAAAGAAGCAGGTTGGCATGCTGAAGACGGCTGCCGGGTCGGAAGCTATTTGCTTTGGAAAGCTTTGCATTGTTCAGAGGAAAAGCGGGATGTTTGCAAGTGGGTCAGAGCACTGCTTAGAAAACAGCGGTTAGACCCCCAGCTGGCGTAAATAGACAGAGCTCCATTGAAGCCAGTGGATTTATGCTGAGACACCAGCGGAGGAGCTGGTCTATTTTATTCCTAGTTGTCTTGAAAGGACAGTTAAAGAGGAATAGCAGTGTTAACGGAAAAAGAAGTAATGTTTTGAATGTTGATACATCAGCTATATTGGATTACCCTTTAGCTCAGATCTTGATACACTGGGAGCAAATTAGGTTAATAGTTACACTGGTTTAAATCAGGAGTAACATCACTGAAGTCCGTGGCATTACACAAGAATACAACTGGCATTCAAGATCAGAATCAACCCCATTAACTTGGCCATCAGTAACATTACAGTACATACTAGGTCATGGACTAGTTACCGATGGGCTGACCTGGTCTTTGTGACAGGCCCCCTGCAGGTGCAGTGTGGCTGGGTATTTGTTTATCTGGGCCATCAATGCTACTGAATTAGTCTGAACACTATTTCCTCATATCTTTTGCGGAGTCAGTGCCAGTGAAAACAGAACTTGTAGCAAAGATACTGCAATGGAGGGAGCACTGACCAGTGTATGTGTGGTGGGTTATGTCACTCTCAGAAGGGTTATCTCCTGCAGAGGATGCCTCAGTGGAGTTGCCTATCCACTGGATAAGCAGGCATTTGGAGAGAGGCTTTGATTGTGATCCCTCTCTAACGTGTGGTTACATTCATAAAAGTGACTGTCAAATGGCACTTGCTTATTCAACATCTGCTCCACATGTGACTTCAAGTCATGGGATCTTACATTACAGCCAAAGCCAAGTTTCACTGTTATTAGCGCTGCAGAGCCAAAACAGCTGCAGGAGAGCAGCCCTGATTTTGTTCTGCCTCATGCATTGTTTGCAGAATTAGCAGCTGAAGTCCAATGGACCCCTCCTACTTCACCATTAGTAGGAAAGAGTCAGAGAGGACAGCTTACTTTGCAGATCTCCAGGGGAGTTTGCAGAACAGGAAATTAGAAAAGCTACCTACAATTTATACACATTTTACATAGAAGTTACTGAGAGAATTTGGATACAATCTGATAAATCCTCAGTCACACGAGCAAGTCTTTACTGAAGTGAATAGCACAATAAGCTACTCCCAAGTTAAAAACTTAGGGGAATAAATGTTTTTGCAATATGGGGCAAAATATGGACCCCCTTTATCATTATCAGGGCATATCCACACAGTGCCTGTTGCAAATTATTCTGAACCATATTACTTGTTCAGAAATACTCCATGCATGATGATTACTGGCATATGTAGCTCTTGTTTTGTATACACATAACAAATCCATAGAAGAATCCCATAAAATTGTTTTTCCGATGGGAAAACCCCATAACAACTTTGGACCTGATCCAACTCCCATAGATGTTAGGGTCTCCTCTCTCGCTCCCTCAGAGCTGGATCAGAACCTTACTTATGTAAATAAGATGCCCCATATACACCCCAGGAAAGCTGTCATCTTTGTATACCTCAACTATTTCAATTCCAATATTCTATTTTGCACAATAAAATGGTGCCAAAGTTCTAGCATTATTTTCTTGCCACCAAAATATACCTCATCTTCTGACTCAGTTTGGACTTACAAATAAGATTGTAAATTTGTGGGAAACACAAAACTGTCCAATTATTTATAAAATGTAATTGCTTCTATTTTTATATGTATGTGCTGTGCACAACAATGTAGTGTATTCATAAAATAAATTCTTTTGATATGTTTCTTGTGTTTTGATTCCAAATCCCATTAAACTGCTTTGTGCTTATTTCAGAACTGCTGTATTCAACAGAAATTATATCGACTGTTGGTTTCATTCACAGCTGCAATCAGAGGCCAAGTAATTAGAGTTAATGCAGAACTGTGGGCTTCTGCGTGGTTCATGTGTCCTCTCCGGGGAGCCAAGAGAAACTCCTACTTAGCAGCTGAGAAGTTGGGAGCTTTGGGGGAACAGTGGGACTCTGAGCTGTGGAAATAAAAGGTGGAGTCTGGTCAAAGTTGTGCTGTCCTGGATACGTGTGTAAATCCACAGAAAACTTTGGCGTGAGGGCTCTTTATCCGGGAACAGTCTAATATGATTCTTCTATTATTAATGCTCTTAATTTTATCATTTCATACAAACTTTAGTTTATTTCTTAGTAGGAATGGCCAAAACCCCCAGGTACTTTGCATACAATTAATTGTAATTGGAAAGGCATTTTAACTAAAAAAGGAACCATGGCATAGGACCACCACTAAAGATTTTTACCTGCAGAGTTTAGCCAAGTCTAGCCCTGTCTCACCTCAGGTTGTTACCTTCTCAGTCCTTATCAGTAAACAATTACATTAGATGAGCATTGGCATCAGAGACCTTCAAGGAAAAGCCAGTGCGCTGCAGGCCATTGTGGCTGGGATTTTAGGGGTTTGGATGCCTAATTTACACTTTTGAAAATCCCACCCCATCTCAATGTTTTGGTAGGTAATGCCTATTTTCCTGAGTCAGGATTGAACCAGTTCTTAAATTAGGTAGGTCAAACATCCCCGTCCCCTTCCCCAATTTCAAAAACTCCTGTCATTGAATAGACTGGTGAAAAATCACTCAAGTTCAAGCAGCTTATTCAACTCTAATACCCAGGATGGTATCTCAGTCGACATAAATCCAAGACTGACTACCTGTGGTTATTAGAGATTCTTTGGCACTTTTCACAAGAAGAACAGTGTTAATCCCAGTATCCTGGCCAAATACCAATCTGTGCTATTACGTTCTGCCTATTTCCCCTGCCATTCCAACTGGGGACTCTCGGTTTCCAGTCCTCAAGCATCCAGTATCAGAGCAGTGTGGAGATGCCACATTCCACCCTCCAGCTCTTCCTTGGTGGACTAAGTGTGCTTTCATATGCTGCACACCGTTCATGCATAGTTCTAAGAGCTAGTTAGGACAGACAATGGTGGAATGGGAGGAGGGACACAGCCCCACTCATGGTGACCGGAAACACTAGACAAGATTTTCAACAGCTGTAAGTCAACGTGAAGTCAATGGAACGACAAAAATGTACATCTGCTGTGGATTTGATTTATTATACCTGTGGAGGCCAGGAACTGACATTTTGGGGAAAATGTGCTCACCACCATCCCTTGCTTCACTCTTGGAAAAAGTGTAGCTGGGGCTCCCTACGGCATAGTCCTCTGGATGCTGTGGCCAGACCCTGCCAAGACACCCCAGTGACAGAGCAGGAGTAGCCTAAAGCTGACCTAGTGCTCTGTGTACTTGGTAAGAGTCCCCACTTGTGCCAAAGTGCTGAGGTAACTGATGAGGTACCTTGGGATTATCCAATTGACAAGGAGACTGTCAGCAGAGGATACCTGAAACAGGCAGGAAGGGCAAAGCAGCCCCAGGCCTCAGAAATGTGAGAACTCTCCCTCCCCTTGTCCCACACCACCCTAGTGCCGTACTAGCAGGTAGAGGCTTGAGGTAAAGCCTTATGCTGTAGTGAGCTAGCACTTGTAAAGCACACTGTAAATAAAGCTCACAGTGCTCAAGCTGCCACTAGCGTGCACAAGGGCTTTCTGCAGCAAGGAATCCAGGGAAGGGAACTCTGCCTGAGGACACCCCTCTCCGGAGCACGGATTGTTGCAGCACTCCCTGGGCCCAGCCTGTGCACACTCTGTGAAAAGAAGAGCATGAAAGGATCCTTTGGGAGGAAAGGTACTAAATAAACACCAGATCATTGTCACGGGCAGAGTAAAATGTTAGAGGAACTTTGCCTCCTCCAAATACCCATTCGAAACAAGCATTCAATTTCCGCAGCTTCCTTCATCCTGGCAACCGTATATGCCCCCGGCCAGCAATCTCAGCAATTTGACTCAAGTTCTTGTCTCAGCAGTGCTCTTTTGCTCACCTCCCTTGGCCCTTTCCCAGCCCTGTAAATCTGTGGGAAATTTGCTGGCAAAGGGGAGACATTCATATGCCCAGTAGAACTGTCAAGTAAAATTGGATTAAAAATAAAATCAAATAGCCTAAAAGCTTCACCATCCCGGGGTTCCTAAACTCACTCTCTTCCTCTTGCCTTGTTTCTCCCCTGCCTTCTTCCAGCTTTCCCCCCCCTTTTTTGATATTCCCCCTTTAAAAGTTCCCCTGTCCCCATCTAGAGCAGGGCAGCACACAATATCCCGGGTAAGTCTTTTCTGCCTTCCCCTCCTCTGTCATGCTGCCCTCTGAGCTCCCTGGACCGAGTCCATTGGCAGAGACCCATAACCCATTCACTTACCCAGTCTCTGGCTTCTTTGATACTTCCCCAGCCTTATGAGGCAGCAGGTGGCATTCTCATCAGCTATTTATTTTTGTGTTCCCACGTGTCCCATGTTGCTACTGAATTACACGATGAACCTCCACTTTTAGAGCCTGGCTTATACATAGGTTTCTCCTTTGGGATTCCTGCATCATGTAGCAATTGGCTATGTTCAGGGACCTTCTATACTCAGGTTTCATCGCTGGGGCATACAGTTGGACTTTCCTTCTCTTGGCACACAAAATGAAGATCTGGAGTGTACCTTATGGCCAACTGACTGAACTCGCTCCCGCAAATTAGACTGACAGTTTCTCCCTTAAAAAACAAAAACAAAAACAAAAACAAAACAAAAAACCAACAAAAAACACCTAAACCAGAAGTTGCTGGCATTTTTAGACACCCATGCCAATGCACCGCACTGACACCAGGATGGGGCCATCTAGTACTCACCATGTCTCCTATGGCTGGGTATATTCCAGGCCTCAGAATTTGGGCTGCTTTCATGATGCTGAAGCTGGGGTCACTAGAATACCGGGACCCATGAATAGACACTCATACTAGTGCCATTGGGAACCTGGAGTCCCACTCAAAAACATCTCTACACCCAGTCGCTGGCAGATCTCTGACCAAGCAAAAAACCCAAGCCCGTGCTGTGTTGATACAGACTGAAGAAGAACACTACCATATTGAACATGATTGGTTAAGACACACAAGATCCTGTGATAGGGTCAAAACAAGAACAACCTCACTAAGCTGCTGTGTAAAATACACATACCTATATGGCTGGTCAAGCTAGCCACATGCACAATGAGATGTGGCCATGTACAGTTACACTGTACTTGCTGAATGTTAGGAAGCCAGATCACTTCTCTTACTCCATAGAGAAGTCATTTAAAAATGGAGGTCACGTTACTGAAGAAGTTTGCAGCTAGACTGGGCACAGCACTGATGAATATACATCAGGGAACATGCCTATCTTCACAAAGAGACTAGCTGGAACCCAATGTGCATTTTCTTGTAGAAGGGCCTGAAGCCCAGTCCTAGACCAGGATCTCTCAGTACTAGGTGCTGTACAAAGAGGTCAAAAAGGTAATCCCTGCCCCCAAAGAGCTTCATTCTAAGGGAGCATCCAGACTATCGCGCTGAGCCGACAAACAGCTGATCAGCTGTTTGTTGGCTCAGTGCGGCAGCCATGTAAATTTAAATGAAGCGGTGATTATTTAAATCGCCGCTTCATTTTACTGTGTCGGGTAGCCTAATCTACATGCCTCTGTCGCCAGAGGCATGTAGTCTAGACGTACCCTAAGAAAAGTGACAACAGGTGGGTGCAAGCAAACCAATGGAGAGCACAAGGAAACAACGAGATAGACTGCCTGTAGTGCTGATGGTTACTTCCTGTGAAATACTGACAGTGACCAAATGTTTGGATGACATTCACATATTTCTGACCAGGCTGGCCAATGGAACGGAGTGGGGGAAGAGAACAGGGGCATAGGTGCGCGAGGCAGCGCACTCTGGGTAGTGCTAAAGGACAGGCAGGGGGAGGCTAGCCCCAAACCCGCCCCTTCTGATTGCGGCCCCATCCCTTCTGCAAGCACATATGCAAATAAATAGAACAGAAGAGTTGACCAATGTTTAAAGCAGTGGACTGGGCGCTAGGACTTCTGAGTTCACAGCCGAGTCATTATCTGGCCTTGGAGAAGTCACTGCAGTCCGTGGGTGGAGAACGTTATTTCTGTCAGGAGCCACTGACTTTTGGTGGTGGGCGGAAGCAGAGGTCTCAGTAAGGGACACGCTTCCATGTGCTTGCCTGCAGGCAACGCCCCTTCCACAGCTCCCATTGGCTGAGATTCCTGGCCAATGGGAGCTGTGGGGGAAGTGTTGTTGGGGCCAGCAAGGGCACCATGGGGAGGAGCTCCTCCAGGTGCACGTGGCCATGTGGCTCCAGCCCAGTGAGGGGAATGGCACTGCACAGAGCTGCTTCCCCAACTACACTGCCACACAGGGTGGAGGGGCTTTAATGGCTGCAAATCAGGGCCCAAGGTACGGGGGACTTTTGGTAGCCCAGAGATCTTTTTGCAAAATACCCCTTAGTCTGGGGTCCAGGGCTGCAGCCCCAAAAGCCCTTGCAGTGATCCAGTCCTGCCTGTAGTGGGAGCAGGCTCACGGTGCCAGTGCTCACATTCCAGCCCTGCATGGAGGCACCAAGACTTGCCCATGGGCCAGAAGTTCCCCACCGCTGCTTTAGTCTTGCTGTAAAATAACTTCTCTGATTAAAATCCTCTCTAAGTATATACAAAGATCAGAAGAAAGGCTTGGACTTTTGGCAAGTTGCCAGTGTTGCCACCCCTCTAAGGGAGGGAGGAAAGGCAACTAAAGCATTTGTGCAG